CTGGCTGCTGTGTTTAGAGTCTCCCGGCCGCTTGTTCACCACGCTGCTGGGGCCGGCGCCAAGCTGGGCATGTAAGTGTTTGTGAGAGTGGTGGTTGTGGTGGTGGTGGTGGTGGTTAGAAGAGTGGCCCTTGTGTTTCTCCTTGTGCTCCCGGTTCTTGCCGCTGCTCTCGTCTGAGGAGCCGTGCCTCTCTGCAGCGGTTGGCACCTTGATCCGCATTTTTATCTCCTCTTGCTTGGAGGGGAGTGGCCTCTCCCCACCTCCACCTGCCACCGGGATCCTCAGCTTCAGAGCTGAGGCTTTGTCACTCTTTTCAGGGCCGGGAGGGCGCTCAGGATTCTCTGATCCGCCGATGGGGATTTTCAGGATGATTGGAGAGGGGTTGCTGTCCTGCTGGACTTCCCTCTCCCGCTGCTGCTGGACCAGGAGATTCTGCGCAGCGTAGGCATACTGAGACCGCACGTTGGCCTCCATGTTCTCCAGCTGCCGCTTCTGTGCCGCCAGCTCCTCGGCGTGCTTGGCTCGGTACTCCTTGAGCGACACTTTGGCAGATGGGGCATTCTTGCCGCTCTGCTTCTGATAACCAGCGCCATCTTGCTGTAAAGGATGCTCAGCAGCCGACGAGCTTTCGCTAGTCCTGTGACTCTGGCCAGTCTCCAGCTTGGGTGGAGGATGCTGGGACAGCCAGTGCTCAGGCTGGGACATATCCGCACCGCTCTGGTCACCAGGCGAGTCCGCTGTGGCCGGGAGAGACGGCCCTGCTCCAGCAGTCGAGGATGTCGACATGCTCATTAACCCAGCGATGTTCATGTCCGAACTATTGTTCCTGGAAATCATGTTGAGGATCGTCTGCTCCGACAGGCTCTCATTTGCACCGTGGTCATCAGCCTTGGACTTCGTGGCTGCTTGAGAGGCCTGGAATAAAAGCAGTGACCATTTACTTTGGACTGTCACCAGAGCTGGTTTGATGCAAGCAGCTCACCCAGTACAGTGCATGCTCTCATTTACAGATGGATCCACTTTGCCCCCATCCGTCCTCATGGGAAAAGACCCAGCCACTGCAAGTGGGGGTGCTAGAGCAGTTGAAGAACCAAGGTCTCTACAGAGTTAATTCAGAACCGACAAACTTGAGCGCTGAAGCAGCATCTTGCAGACGCAGAGCGTTCAGATTTCCCCCACACACACGCCCTTCAGACACTGTCTTGCATTGTAATACCAGAGATGCCACACAGCCTCATGCACACAGAAGAAATAAGAGCCTATGTTCTCCTGCAAGCACTTGTGGTCCAAAGCAGATTCTTACCCGCCAGTTCCGGATACGTTTAAGCCGGTTGGGAGTTTTCTCAAGGATCTGCAGGAATTCATGAGTCAGTTCTGCAGAGGAAACACAAACCCAGGCAAGAGGGTCAGAGGCGGGCAGACCAGCACTAATCCATCAGGGCAACCCCCTACTTGCTGATGAGTGGAGCTACTGAGGAGATGGAGCTACTCCAGGAGGGGAAATACTGAGAACTAGTATCACTGACCACATTTAAACTCATCTCACTGTGCGCCTTTTGCCATTGAAGCTGCTGCTGTACTGGAAACCTTGGCAAGACCTGAAGTCCATGAACTGGCCGGCGGCCGTGTCTGAACGGCAGACCCAGGAACAGAGATGCCAAAATAACGTAAGAGCCTTTGGGGGGAAACCTCGCTCCAAAACTTACCATCTAAGAGCTCCAGAGTTACAGTGCCATCAACGTATTCCCACCAGTGCTTCCCGTCCGTGGAGACTGGGATCTCCCAGTTGGACCACTTACAAGCCAGGTGGATACAGACGCAGGCCACAACGGGAGGGGTGTACTGCAGGCTGAAGGTGGTCAGGTGCAGGCTGACGTCACCAGCAGGGAGAGAGAAACAGAAAGCCATGAACTCCCACGCCTGAACTTCAGCACTCACAATCGCCCACTGAACAGACGCTGCGCAAGAGGTGGACATGGTGGGGAAGTCCCTGCCATTCCTCCCCCAGTACAACCCTACTGTTACGGGCGTCTCTATCCCGCTCCACCGATTTGCTTGTTCCTTCCCCGTTCTGCTGCAGATAATTTGGGTCCGGGCAACTCTGTCAACTCAAGGCTCTGCGGCTCGTGCAGAAGCGCAGAGGCACGCTGCTGCCCTGCTCGAGCCCTCCTCCGAGGGAGAAAGCGAGCGGCTGGGTTACCTGCCAGCCCCACCTCTGCTGTGGGCTCTGCTTAAGCCAAGAAGCAGCTCAGACACTTCCAAGTGCAACTCCTGGGATGGCGTTCAAGGAGCAAACTGGCCCTCTTTGGCTTTTAGGAAGGGTCTGGTCTTTCCCAAATGATTTTTAGGAAAAGCACTGAAGCTTTGGCTGTGAATAGCACCTTACGCTGGAGTGACTCAGGAGCGCCTAAAAGGGAGCCTGGCTGCCTATCAAGCATTTTCATTAGTAAATGAATTTGCCACGTGACAGCTCAGATGCCAGCACTGGGGTGTCTAGGTAGCACTGAGAACAGGAGAACCGACGAACCAAGAAAGCATCCTACTCTCTACCTGCAGGAACACCACGTCCACTAAGCCTTAGAAACCGTGATAGCAAGTTGAGTCAGGATTTGCCCAGTGTCACACTCATGAACCAGCCCTTTCAAAGAGCACTTGAGGGAAATGGCACCACTGAGGATCTACACGCAGCTGCAGGATGGCATTATCTGCATTTCTTCGTCATGCTCGGGTTATTAACATTTTTCCATCAATGCAGTGTGGAGACAGAGATATGCATCTACAGCCAAAAAGCCTGAAGCCGTTTCACAGATACTGTATTTATCCATACATCAAGAAGTCAAACCCAGGAAATTCAGAGCCTTTATCCAGTCTGCCAAGGTAAGAAGTGAAGTTAAGATGCACAAAGAGCCTTAACTCTGCCCCATAATGATGCCAGAAGGAAATAAACATCTGTAGCTACGCCCGATAAATCTAGTTCATCACTTAAGCACCTTAATCAGGCGTTACATGGCATCACTTTAAGGCAAAACTGAGGCTGCCTGGCTGCATTTTTTACCTTCTGTCTGGATTTCGTTCAATTATAACCTTAACTCATAATTCCTCAGTTTTGCAATTATTGCTGCAGGGATAAAACATGTTTCAAGGATGCATTTACCCACACATTACTAACACCACCTTCCCTCTACACTAGTTTATGCGGGAAACCCACACAGTGCCCTTTGGAGCAAGGGAGCACCTTCAACAAACAATTCCCCCAGCACGCTGTGGAGGCGAGCAGGTAACACCTCGCACAGCCAGAGAGGAGAGAAACAACTCGCCCAAGGCCACGCACATTCACTGCTCAGCCAGGGCTTGGAAGCATTCTCTGACTCCGCAGCTAGCGCCTAAGCCATCTTTTTCTCCCATCCTTTCACTTCTGCAAGCTCTTTCACAAAACCACAAGATTTTCTGTGTCCACAACTTGGTCTGTTCCAAACATTAACTCCGTGATTTGCCTGAAGCTGGTAATCCAGGAAATTAAATTTATAAAAAATTAGGGAAGTTCCAACACAAGGGCTGGTATCAGCCTTGCAGTAAAAAATCTAGTGACAAAACTACCCAGACATCTCAAGGCAAAAAAAAAAAAATAGGGGCTTTTTTCATTTCCAAGACTCTGCTTACAGGACTGTCTGTCCAGTCGTGCAGGCCAGACAAGGCTATTGTTTTCTCTTTTAACGCCTCAGGACTGCATCCAACTACCCTTTTTCTCCCTTTATACTCTAGATCAGCCTTCTTTGGGGTACAGACCGTATTTGTTGACAATTTGCACAGCACCTAGTTCGGTGAAAACTCTCCAACACCTAGGTACTAAGCAAGTAAAAATGTATATATTTGTTTAAAGTCTGCTTAAAAAAAAACAAACCCAAAACCAAAACTTTCATAACTGTCTAACTTCCTGTAAAAGAAAGCAGTGCAGTTCCTGAGCATCCCATCTGCCTTGCTTATATGGCCGGTTTTGCATCTGGTTTTGACCAGCAGCTAGCAGGAGAAAGGGTTCCTGCTCTTTCTGAACCAAACCGAGCAATCCCCAGTCGCTCGCAGTCTGACCAACGCCCCAGGGGTCACCAGTAGCACATCTCCTCCAGATAAGACCCTCTGTCAAATATGAATCAATTGTAAAATAATAACCTGTTGGTAGCCATGAAATAGGAAGTTTGCGCCAAGTCCTTGCTGGCTGAAAGAGAAAAGGAAAAAGCAGGGCGTTAGCCTGCATATCCTGACAAATATTACTACATCTTAGTGCAAGAACCACGGGCCTCTCGCCATCACACACACAATAAAACACCCAACATGGTTCGACTAACTTCACACCACAGCTAAAAGGATTTTAGAAATCACTGCGCATAGACAGCTTTGCGTGGGTCAGCAGAGCCACAATATCACGTCAGTTATTTGCAACTGCCTCTATTTTGACGTTCGTTATGGGTATTAAGGAGACTGACTGCAGGCAATTTCTCGGGCAGTCCCAGCTGAACACTACAACATATTTTCACAGCTCTTCTCTATCAAACTGAGGTTACATGGAGAAGTCAGAAGCACCCGACATCGCTTACCTCGCACTAGCTGTGTGCACTTCACCACGTGGGTATGGGGGTGGTCAATAGTGATCTCAAAACCTGGAAGAACACAGACATACGACCATCAGAAAACCAGCAGCACACCTCCCACGGATCTACGAACTTCACGTGTCCTGCTCCTGGGGGACAAGGCCTTCTCCCCTTCCCTCCTACAGCCCCTGCTCTCTGCTCGGAGGCAAGCAGGAATAGAGGAGCCCATTTTCCTGTATCCAGAAGACTCGAGTTCTCCAGTCACAAAACCCGAAGGTCACTGCTGCTGCCAGACCTCCAAGCAGCTAAATGACTTCTGTGCTTGAAAGACCTCACTGAAAACAAAACAACTATTAAGGATTTTAAAAATAGCAGGACAAAGCCTCTTACAGCAGCTGGGAGGAAGGAGAAGACAATGGCATCTGCTCAAAGGAATGTCTGTCACCCAAAAAGCTAAGAGGAAGCAGACGTCTTCCCTTTGAAGGAGCCTACAGCACTAAAGACAACTGAACTTAATCCTCGCTTCAGTTTCCTATTCAGTTTGGGCATTATGTTTTAAAGAAAAAAAAAATTCAAATTGGTCCATGTGTGCAACAGATTTGGTTCTTCCCGTGAAGAACATTCTAGAAGAACTGGGACATTAAAAGAGGCAACTGGAGAACCGAGTCGTTGCAGAACTGGGGTCACAGTTTAGCTGCTGGCTTGCCGGGCCAGCACGTGTGACCCATCAACACACCTGCCCCTCCTGTCCCCTTGTGTGCGAGGGATTCATGGCATTTACTCTGAACCAAGTCAGAAAGAACAAAGGCCTACTGAGTATTTTGGAGTGGAATGCTGTCTACAAACTGTCTCTGAAATGGAACATGTATTAGTAAAACCAAGTTTTAACAGTACATTTTAGAAAGGAACAGGATACTGGATCCAATAGCCACAGCCCTAAACGTAGGCTCCAGCTTCTACTTTCAAAAAACCCCAAAACCGTTGGTGTTTTGGCATTCTTTTTTCCACGTTCAGCTATCTGATCAAAACATTAACTTTCAACCCAAGTTTGTTAGACATCTCTCAGTGCAAACTGCTTCCTGGCCACAGGACTAGAGCATTATCAAGTTCAACAGCACAACGGAGGACAGCGACCGGTGTCCAAGCAGTACAAAACCTGTTGTGGGGGACAAAAAGAGACGAGCCACACTTCCACGCTTTAATTTCTCTGAGCATTGAGGCTGACACAAGTTACACCTGAAAAAACTGATGTTAAAAGGAAAACAGAAGGAGTGGGTGTGAAAAATAGAGTTTGTTGCCTGGACTCTTGCTCTCCCACTGGTCAGCTGTACATCTGCCCTCCAGCTGTGGAGAAGACTGTGCGGTTAGGCTCTCCGCTCTGCGGAACACTCCTGGGTCTGGGATTCGTGTGGCAGCCCGTCCGCTTTGAAAAACTTACCCAGGGTCTGCAGTATTATGCTCTCTAGAATGACCAGGTCTTGGGCTTGTTGCAGGTAAGCCTGGGGTTGAGAGGACAGGCAAGTTACTCACGATGAGGCACTCCGTATAAAGCCTGCACATTTCTAACACCCTTTTCTCAGGGAGGCAAAAATAGCAAAGGGGAATCTTTATGCCGATCTGCACTGGGGGAACTGGCACAGATTCCCTGCCAGAAAAGAGAAAGCAGAGTGCTGGGGTGGACCCACTCCCCTGCTAGTGGACGGTTGCTTCGGGATCCACAGTGGCCCTCTCAGTCCTGGTCCCTCGCACTGCACGGGAGGTCTATACGAGCAGTACAGGAGAGGAATTAGCTGCTTTTTTTTTTTTCCTTAAGCTTTCCTGGATAAAGCTGCCCCTTTTCAGCAGGGTTGGCTGCTCAGTTCCAGGTAAGACGGGCTGTCTCGAGAGATGGGGAATCGGCAACGTTTTTAATAAACCCACCATTAAACATGTGGGGACAGAACGGAACCAAACTGTGCACACCACCTTCTGCTCTGCCACAGACACTACTCAATCGCAGCAGCCAACATCCATGCCCTCCTCAGAAGCTTTTCACGCAGACATTGTTACACAGCACGAGAGTCACATTTGCAGCAGCACAGCAGAGGAGAACAGAAGAGAGATTGCCACAGAGAAGGAAAGAAAAGCCTTCTGCTGTACAGAAGCCAAAAAGCTCTCAGTAGTGTAAGAGCAGTCGAATTGGAAAGCTGGCACTGACCATCCTAGGACACAGCCACTCGCTTAGAGAGTGGGTACTGCGGACCCCAATTTAACAAGACGCTGTAGCCACGCGATTCAGGATGCAGCACGCTTCCGCCATTCCCATTCCTCGTGCCTCCGCTCCTCACATCAGAGTCCAGTTCTCCGATCTCAACACTTACCTCGCTCTTGGTGTCTAGAGGAGTTTCCTGGGGGTGCAGACAGGCATGTGCTACCTTGATTACATGCTCCAGCTTATGAGGCTGCTCCTCCACCTTGGCTGCCAAAAACAGGGCTGCTGGTACCACCGACTTCAGAGAAAAAAAAAAAAAAATAATTTTTTTTTAAAGTTAGCAAGTTCAAGATTAAAGTAAATAAATGAGGATAATTCTCGTGTCTAAAACAAATATTCCTTTAGGAAACAAAGCCTGCAAGTCCAAACACCACCAAGAGAAAAAAGGGTCTCTGGTGACTACCAACAGCTACAAACAACCCTTCCCCTTTCCAAACGCCCTCCCCAGGGTCAGTCCCACCTCATTGCCCGCCCAGCTGGCTGCCAGGCAGGAGCAGAGCTGCGGGATTCCCGATGCCCCCCACCCCGCCAGACCCCAGCGCACTTACGTTCCTGTGGAACTGGGTGAAGGACTGCACCATATAGAAGCGGTGCATGTACACGATGGCTGTATTGATGGTGAGCTGGGAGCTGATGGAGTGGTTAAAGAAGCACACAGACCTGACGACTGCCCCTGAGCAACACTCTAAACTCCCCTACGTCTCACTGGCACCAGGCTAGGCTCTGCTTGCTCCTGGCCTCACTCTCCCCGCAGCCGGGCCTGGTTCTTTCTCTGCTCCTAGCATGGACTTGGCCTTCCCCAGACCCAGTACAGCTCTCCCAGCACCTCAGCCCAGCTCTCCCTGCTCGCGGGCCAGGCCTAGCCCTCCCTCTCCACAACCTGGCCCAGCTCTCCCTGCATCTCAGTCCGGGTCTGGCCTTCCCCGCCACCCGGCCCAGCTCTCCTCGCATCTCGGCCCGGCTCTCCCCCCTCTCGGGCAGGCCCCGGCCTCCCTCAGCGCATCGCGGGCCGGTTCTCCCTGCTCCCGGGCCGGGCCTGGCCCTCCCCGCACCCCAGCATAGCTCTCCCCGCTCCCGAAACGCGCTCG